GCAACCTCAAATTTCAAACGACTGCTGAAAAGACCACATCTACCTTGTAGGGCCCAAGTCTTTGCCAAACTAAAGAATCAACGCCAGGGAATGCTCTTGTAGTGAAACAAGGACACCAACTTGCTTTGTATCTAAAAAGGTTCCATCAAGTGATTATTCCCAGAATATCAAGAAAATATAGCAGTGGCTAGCCACTTAGCAAGCAACTTCTCTCCTAAAGCTGGGTATGGTACCACACACCTGTAATTCTAGCATTCCTAGAGGCTGAGGCAGGCAGATCACAAGGGTAAACCCAGGTTGGGCAACTTAGTGACTTAATGAGACCCGGTCTCAAAATAAAAAATGCAAAGGGCTGAAGATGTAGCTGAGTGTGAAGGCTCTAGGTTCAATACCTAGAAACAGGGAAAAAGCTGAACTTGATGAGCCAGGGATATAGCTCAGCAGCATAAGCCCCTGCCTGGCAAGTTTCCAAGTTCAATTCCCAGTACTAAAAAAAAAAAAAAAAAAAAAAAAATCAACCTGAGTTTTCTAGGATCTAAAGTAGCCAGAATTTAGGCCCAGGTCTTCTTTTTCTCTTCCAGCCCTGCAATGACATTTCAGTTTTCCAAGTTATAAAATGATGTGGAGGGGTAACAGATGGACAGTTCTGAGGAACTTAGGGCAACAGGGCGTGAAGCAGGCGGAAGAGCCCACCAGTCAAAATAGCGGAACACACCAACCAACCGGTGAATGCCGGCCACCGCCAACACCTAGGATAGCCTCTAGGTGGCGCGCCTCACCGCGTCCCTGCAGGCCTCTCACCCTTCTCTCCGCCCCCAGGACTTCGCGGATGGGATGCAGTTCTGCAGCACCGGCTTTCAAGGACTCGACATCCAGCCTCCAGCCGGGCCCCTCTGGATCCTCGGAGATGTCTTCATCCGACAGTTTTACTCTGTCTTTGACCGTGGGAATAACCGCGTGGGGCTGGCCCAAGCAGTCCCCTGAGTAGGGTTCCACTTCTCTGCCCAGCCACGTGGGATTGGGGCACTCTTTACATTCGTTAAAAAGTCATTTTTCATAGAATGCAGACATTCCCAGAGTTGCTACTTGAATTAAGATCAAATAGACCATGACAACACGCACATGCACATACACACACACACACACACACACACACACACATCTCACACATACACACCTCAATCACCACCTTAATAAAAGAATTCAGTTGTTTTCCATATTCCTTATTGCTTTTGTTGATTTTTTTTTTTTTTTTTTACTGTGAAAATCTCCAAACATACAAACAGGCAGAGGCAGCAAGAAATCCCTGGGCACCCAGCCAGCCTTTACACCCTACACACATGTGGGTGACCCCTCTTTCCTACCCCACTACCCACTTCCGTCTCCCACTGCACATACTTGGATTATTTTGCGGCAAATTCCTAGAATCATGTCATTTTATCCATAAACATTTCTAACATCCTTGAATACAGTCAAAACCCAAGTATCTCCCATTGTCTCACAAATGTGTGGCTGTTTTACAGCTGCCTAGTTTATATCAGCGTTGAAACATGATCGCAACCTGCATTTATTTCAAATGTCTCTTAAACTTCTTTTCTTCTATAGCGTTTTTCATATTCAGAATTTCACTGGTGTCATTTTATTTATTTATTTATTTATTTATTTACAGTATTTTAGGGAAGGGCCTACAGGATTTTCAGGGTCTCACTGCTAGATCAGACTCTTAGTGATCCACCTGTTTAGAACCTCCCAAGAGCTGGGATTACAGGCACGCACCACCATACCCAGTCTCAATTGCCCTCTCAGTTCGCTGCCCGCGGGGGCAGGGCCGGCAGGGCAGGCCCTAGGATCAAACCCCCCAGCCCCTGTGCTGCTTACAGGCTCTTTAATGAGCTGAGCTATTTGGCCGGCCCTTGTTGGTGTCATTTTAACAAGGATCTTTGAGCCCCTCTTTTTCATGAAGTGGTAGACAGATCTACAGGTCTAGTGCCACAAACACATCATGGGTGGGGCGAGGTACTTCCTGTCGGGTCCTCTCCATTGGCAGAGTCAACACTGATGTGTGGATTTAGAGTTGTTGACCTTTACCATCAGCTACAAATTTCCTTTCAACGTCCTACCTCATGGTTCTAGCAGTTGGTGATGGCCACTGGTCATTGCCTGAGACCATTGCTGATGGCCACTGGTCCTTTACTCTGTCTTTGACAGTGGGAATAACTGCATGCGGCTGGCCCAAGCAGTCCCCTGAGGCCCACACTGTCCTTTGGGGAATTAACAGGGAATAGATCTCTACTCCGGAGGGTGAATCTCACCAAAGACAAAGTGGCTGTGAGTAAAAAGGATCTATCACTTTTCCTCTAGAACAAAGCACCCTAAGAGCCAAAAGGAAGCAAGTACTACATCCCACCCCTGCAGGTGCTCTGCCTGTGGTCCTTTCTGCATAGGGGCCACCCATGGTGACAAATGATCCAATCTGGAGCTGCACATTCAGAGACCTGGAGAACAAAAGCAATGTGACAGTCACTGGGAGCCCACTGAATGATGGAAGGTGATGGTGACTTTGTCTTCACAACAGCCTGACAGCTCTACTGCACAAATACTTCCACAACCTGGTTCCTTGCCCCACTCCCAGGCATTGCTTTTTCACCAAGGGTATTTCAAGAACATCCACATGGATGTTGTGGTCCTGGTCTTGCCTCCCTCCCAACATGCCAGTGCTGGGCTAATTAACACTCCAGAAGCCTGGCTCCAATCCTGGGCTTCCCTGCTTTGTCTGCACTTCCCAGGTGTCTACTACTATGCACTAAGTGACCCCAAGGGGAACTCCCTAAACAGAGCATGGCCTGTTTTACCTCTTCCTCCATCCCTATCCAGCCCACCCCTACCAAAATGAACCCTTTGGTGTTCTCGCTTGCACACTGTGCTCCCAGGAGGCCTACCCACCCATCCAAGGATCAGGCAAGTCCCTTCGATGAGCCTTAGGGTAACAGTAAAGGGATGTTAGATACAGAAGAACTAGGTAAAAATCTCCAGCCTGTGGGATACTCTGTGATGGTGGTCGGGAGGACTTGGATCCCACCTGTGCACTCTGCCTTCCTCTACCCAGAGGCTCAGCATCTCCTCTGCGCACCCTCTGTCACCACCCTTTAGCTGGAGCCTGCTGTGGCCTATGCATGCCACACATTTGGGCATGCTCACTGGCCCAGCCTCCCTGGAGCTCCAGGGCAAATTGCCCCTCCCCATAAGGAAGATGAACATATACCACCTCCAAATCCTTACCCCCCTTCACTGTCACCATGTCTTAGTTCTGCTCTTAAAACTTAGTTTCTATTTCTGAGTCCCCAGTGTCTGACCTACTTAGATTCCTGAATGACTGCTTGTGGGACAGGGGACCTCAGGCTTCCTCTGAAGGGTGGAGGTTGGCGGCCGCTTCTGTCACAGAAACAGAAGAGAAATTGATGACTTTTGATCCACATGGATGGAGGAAGTGGGGGCTGGAGCTAACGGTGGCTGGTGACGAGGCTTCCAGAGTGCTGGGGACAGTTCTGCAAGAGTTCATAAATAACAAGTTTCAGAAATAGCAGCGGCCAGCGATTTACTTCTTATATCCTAAAGCCCCAATAGCAGCAGCCCCAGAACAGTTCACGTACTTTCTTACCACACACACACACACACACACACACACACACACACACACACACATTTATTTAAAACCTGGTCTCAGGAAAAAAATAGAATATGGGGAAGAAAGAGCTAAAGGATAACAGTTTAAAAACAGCTCAGCTGTTGTGAGTGGTTATCTTGAGGGTGGGTTGATGCACCCTTTAGCAAAAAGATTAAAGTAGAAAATTCTGGGTAGAGATGTCCTTAAAAACTTTCCAACTTGCCTGTGTCCTGTCCAATATCATACTTTAGGGAAATTACTACGCCCTCCCTCCAGACCTGCTCGCCAGCTGATACAAGGAAACGAGCTTCAACTTCGGTTCCACCAAAAATTCCTTTGCAGGGCCTGGGTTGGCAGTGGGAGTGGCCAAAGGAGGGATTCAAGGCCTTGCCCTTGTGGAATGTATAGTCTGGGGCCAGGTCACACACAGCCACAGAGCACTGGGCAGAAGGAAGGGCTTTCTGACGGGGAACACAGCTGACAGGGGTGGGTCAACAAGAAGACAGAAGCCAGCTCCAAAGGAAAGTGGCTCGGAGGGGCGCCGAGGTGTCCCCCACCTAAGGGCGCTCCTGCAGACCTGGTGTTGATCCGCAGGACTCGGGCATGTCTGAGCACTCTGCATTCCGCTTTCATCTGCCAAGCACAATTATTACCCACGGCATAGTTCCAGGCCGCTCAGATTCATAAATTAGCTTCCTGCTGACAGCGGTTAAATCGCTGGAGTCTCCAGAGCAGTTCAGGTGGGGCCACCCATCCTCACCCGCAGGGCCTAGGAAGTTGTGAGGACTTGCCCCGCGACACACACACATGGTGCGGGGGTGTGCATGTGTGTTATGGTGGGTATGAAGTGTGTGTGTGTGTGTATGTGTGTGTGGGGGGGGGTTGTATGTGGGGGGTGGGGCTTGTGGTATGGGCAGGGCGTTTGGGTGTCTGTGGCATGTGTTGGATGTATGTGTGTGAAATAGCGGGGTGAGGACAAGGCAGGTGGGAGGACCAAGCCTACTACACGTGTGCTGAAAACTTCAACAGACTAACCGGCTCATCTCCTGGGTGACTTCTAGGGTCAGAACCATGTTTTCTGAGAGCTTTATACAGCCGTGTTACCCGACAGGCCCCTATCTCGCCAGCCCCCACCTCCAACCTTTTGTTTCTCACCCTCCTGGCCAGAGTCCCTACAAACCAAACGCTCAGGGAGCTCAGACCAACCGTCAGCTCAGAAGCCCAAGCCCAGCTTTTCGGCTTTTGGTTCCCCGGCCCCTCCACCCACGCAGCTGAGGTCACCCGGGCCCAGCCCCTTTTGCAAGTTTCCCAAGTCTGTACACGGAGGCAGAGGAGGAAAAGGCAGGAAGGAAGGGCTTTCAGAGGGAAGTGGCCTGGCCCACAGATTCTTGTAAACTCCCAAAGCCTTTCTCCTCGGGCCTGGCTGGAACTGCCACTCCAAGGAGAGACCTCTGGACCCTGAGAGAACGCCCACCTGCCCGGGGAGGCTGAGCGCAGCGTAGCTACAGCTGTAAGTGCCCTGAAGTTTGTCCTCATCCTTCTATCTGCTCAGCAGCCTCCAGAGCTCTGTGTGCTTAGGGGATTGGAATGGAGGCCAGATGCCAGGCAGAGGCTTAGAGTCCAGCAGCTGCAGGCTTAGATCCAGCCCGCAGACCCCCCACCCAGGAGAAACTCCCTGGCATGGTGGCAGGAAGGGGCTCACCGCTTGCCGGGTGAGCTGGGGCTCTGCTTGGGAATCCTCAGAGGCCAGCGGTGCCAAGCAGGATGCAGCTGCAGCTGCTCAAGCAGAAGAGGGTGGCGCTGCCACCTCCGGCCTGCACGGCCTGCCAGAGGCTGGAACCCTCCGAGAGGCTGGCATGTGGTGTCCCCATGCCACATGGACAGGGCACTTTCTGGAATAGAGCTCTGTGGGCCAAAGCACCTCATCTGGGTAAGGTGAGTGTGCAGAGTTAGATAGGATGGCTCTCTTTCTATATCATAAATATTTTTCCTGGCAGACAGCTACCATGCCAGATATGCCAGTGAACAGAGCTAGCCCTGGGCTTTTGTCTCAGCTGGCCTCTAACTAGTTCTTCACCCAGGAAAGCCCTGGGCCATAATGGCATTTTGTAAAGTACAAGTGCTTTATAATTTTATCAACACAAGACAACATGTGTTCATAAAAACAATTCCTTTATACTTATTGATTAATTTTCTGTCAGGTAAATCCCATGGAGATAAGTCATTGTTCTATACACTGAGTTCTAGCATACATTGCTAGCTTGCGTACATTGCTTTTGCTGGATGGATGGATGGATGGATGAATGGATGGATGGATGGATGGATGGGCAGCTATTTATAGAAAGCTCTAACTTCTCAACATGTGTCAGGCTCTAGGTGAAAATATAGAGAGTGGGAGGCACTGTCCTGGGCACAGACAGTGCCTGGGGAAACAGGAGTAAATACTACAGAGCACTCCACTTCCTGGAGGCAGCAGGTCTAGGCCTGCTAGGTTTGGGCTAGGTTTGGGCTGGGGAAGCAAAATTGCCAATGTTCCTATCAGGCAACAAAGCCTCATGTTCTCTTGATAGTCTCTTCTACCAACAAACCTGACTTCCCCAATGGCAAGTCCCATCATTGTTTTAGAGCAGATATATTTGCTATTTTCTAAAGTATGAGATGGGGAGGGGAGGTGCTAGTGATTGGGTAAGAAGCCCGGTAAGACCTGCTTCAGAGTTCTCACCTGCCGCTGCTCTGGTCTCCCTGCCAGCAGATCCCCCACCCAACACAAACCATGCAGAAAACTGCGCTGGGGTCATGGCTGGAGCTGGTGGGGTGGGAAAGAAGGCAAGTGGGAAGGTGAGGGCAGAGCAGCCCCAGGAGTTCTTGGAGGACTGGACCTTGGGCCCAAGCTCTGTAACTTCACAACCTCTTGGGCTTTCTGCTTCACAAGGACAGAGCTATGTGGTAGCTTTGCCCACTGGGGCCTTGGAAGTGCTGCCAGGGAAGAGAAAGAGAAGAGGTGGTCACATCCAGGGGGACTGAATCAGCTCCGAATGGGCCTGCATGGCTGATGGCCAGTCCTGCATTCCAAGGCTGCTTGTCACTGCTCTTAACGGTGGAGGATGAGTCAGCCTGGCCTCTAAGACGATGTCCTGTTTTGAAACATTTGAATCAGCTGAATGGATAGGAAGAGGCTTAAAAGGACAGCCAGGGCCACAGCCCAGCCAAGAGCAGAGCAGAGAGGACAGGGAAAGCCACCTCAGCCACTGTCTGAAGTGTGCATGTGACCCCCAGGAACCAGTATAGACCTGAGTGAGTCCAGCTACTCTCTTGTTACTGCTGTGACTGAGACTCAGGTAGCAGCCTCAGCGAAGTGCCTGCCCTTGTGGAAGGAACCCCAGTGACGAGTTCAGAAGAACAGACTGGGGTGGTGAGCAGTCAGACAGTTTACAGTTAAAGGGGGCTGGCATGTGGCAGAGGAACTGGCAGTTCCTGTGAACTGTCCTGGGACAGACCCATCCCATTCCCCATGGGTGTGGTCAGATGGCTGGACCACAGGGTGAGAGATGAGCCTTGTGACATTTGACGTCCTCCCAGGTGTGCACCGGCACTACACAGGTGGCCTGCACAATCAGCCATCACAGGTGAATTACAGCCCAGAGAATGGCAGTGCTGCAGTTGGGTGTCTGGTCCCCAACCCCCTCGTCACATCCCGGTTGCTAAACATTTAAATAGGTCTCTCCCATCCTAAGGATCCTGTTAAACTATAAAGCACACCACTTGTTGAGGAAGCCATACTGTGAGTGGCACCCTCTCTGCCCATGAGGAACTATCACCAAATGGCTCATCTGACATCACAGCTGGCATAAAAGTGCTGACCCCAAAACTCATGATCACTCAGTGGGACCCACTTCTCTCTCCCATCCCAGCAAAGTGACTCATCACGGCAAGAAGTCATACTCGTATGACTTTGGGATGCCACACAGCCACACGCTCTTGTGAAAGAGAGACTGTCCTGAGCTGGTATTTTTAATTGAAGAAATAATTTAGGCTTGTAGAACAAATTTTAAAGCCAGACACATAAAATAAAAAAGATAGCTCTTAGCCCCCAATCTGCCTTTCCACAACTCTCTTGTTAATCCTATCATGTGTATCTACCCATAACTTTCTGTGTATTCACAAGACAAGCATATGTGAAATATGAAACAGTCATACATGGCATTGTTTGTTTTTGTATGGTTGGTATCATAGTGGATAAATTGCCTAGTAGATTTCTTTTTTTACATTAAATTAGTGTTTTTTTCCATTTTATCATGTTGTCTTTTTCAAATTGAGTAGTATCCCAGACTATATATTCATGGCTCAGAATTTATGTAAACAGTCTTACCGATGGATCTGTAGGTCCAGCAAAAGGTGTTCTCATGGGGCCCCAGGGACCAAGCTGTGTGTGGTCCTCACTCTAGTGTTGCAGGTAGAGAGGAGCACCCAGTTACAACCACAGTCTGTTGCTTACCACGGGGTGCACACTTGTAATCCCAGCTACTCAGCAGTCTGTGAAAGGAGGATTGCAAGTTCAAGTCCTGCTTCAGCAACAAAGCACAATTTCTGTTAAGGAAAGAAAAGTGGAGGGGGGGCAGAGAGAGAGAGACAGAGAGAGACAGAGAGAGAGAGAGAGAGAGAGAGAGAGA